TAACGTGGAGTTCCCTGAGTAAAAAATCACGAATCATTGGCTAAACAAACGGTGAGTTTGCACGTTGTTCAACCGGTGATATGAGGAAATTGAGAGAACGGCTTGGATGTTCAGCACTTTGTAAAGCTGAACTTTCCTGCCGTTATATTCTTGAATGAATGATCATATATCATTGCTCACCGCCACTGTCAATTTTCATAATGTTATATTTTAAAGTTCGCGCAGTGCTTTCAGTTAAGTAGTAGTTGTTCGTCTTAAGAACTGTGGGAATTGTGCGCTGGTTTTGGATTAAAGTTTAGAATGCTAGTTTACTTAAATAGATTTTCTTTGAATTAATTAAATTCTTTATTACGGATTCAGGGAATGCGTAACTACCATGGGGAGCTTAACTCCTTTGAATTTGGAGCAAGATGCATAACGATCTTGCATATGAAGGTGCTGAGCCGTTTCTTGTGGGTGGAGGAGGAGCAGGGTCAAACCTTGCGTTATTTTCCTACCAGTTTTTAGATGACGAACTCAGTTTTGATGCCGGAAGTCGTTGCTGTTCTTTGTACATTTCGAATGTTTTTGATGTAAAGGCGAGGCGAAACTGCAGTAGTATGGTGATGAGTTGTATGGCTTCAAGCCGCGTACACTTCCGTTGACTTTGATTCTGTTAATCATTCCATTAGTCAGTTTTTCTTCTCAATATTTGTCGAAATTATCAACTGGTTGTCATCTCAGTTCATCAGTTCCACTGTAACTCATAAGTAAAGTTTAAAATAAATTTTTTTTTCATTTCGTGTCCGAGGTAAAAGCAGACATCGCAGCTAAAAAGAGTGCATATTTTTTTGCAGCGTTTCGGCGCGCTAAGCGGATGTTAATTCGCGGAAGTTTAGCAGCGACTGATGACTTATGTTTAAGAACCTGTTAGCCGTGAGTTCGTCGTCGTAATGCTGCCGAAATGTGCTTTGGTGTCGTTATTTTCGTATCGATCGAAAAAGTTTTCGGATGAGTCAAGTGAGGAGTGATGACGAGGGAGCTGAAATAGTTTTTGTTTAATTATGTACAATTATGGTTTGTTTTAACTGTGTAACTGATAAGCGCCGTTTTCTGCACATAAGCGATGTTCTTCGAGCCAGCGGTGTACTAAATTTGCCACATCACTAAGTTACCAAGTTTTAGAATAACTGCTCTAAACCCCTGTTTCATCGGTTTGGCATCAGTCCCTAGCTTCTGGATGCCATTGGAGACAAGAGAGCATACCGAAAGTCAACTTTGGGACAAATGGTCGATAACCAATAGTCAGAAATGGCTGAGTGTCGTATGACCATGCCTACGAAATAAGTCAGGGGTGAGCTGTTCGATCCGTACAATCCAATAAGCGAAGTTGTTCACTTATGTCCGATGTGATGTCATCATCGTCTGCGATTCATCATGACTGACCCTAACCATTGATCAACAATTTCTTTCCATTTACTCGTTATTTCAACTTGTTTGCATGTTTCTATCTAGAATGATTATTCGTTCATAACTGTAGGAACTGAAAATGAATTGGCTTCAGTCCAAGCCGGTAATACCGCAGTTTTATTGGTTTATTCCAAGCTTCAGCATTTTTCCCGCGTATTTAAGTTTACGCCGTTGCTTTAACGTAAACTGAAGTTTAGGCCGTAACGCGGTGGAAGCCACACAGTTCCAGTCTGTACTGAAAGGCAAAATTGTGTCTGTCCCTGTGCTTCTGGGTAGTGGACTTCGACACATACTGCGCTCTGTAAACTAACCCATCTGATGCATTTTAGTGACGGAACAAAAACCATATGTTATTATGCATTGTAAAAGTGGAGGTAAAGATCTGCATTCTGTTTTGTAGTAAAATTAGTCGACGTGAGCAAAATGTCGTTATTTCGAAATTTGTGAACCGCTGTATAAAACGACGCAAGTCGTGCCTCTGCCTGCCTCCATCCCCCGATCGTACTGACATTATTGCCGTAAAGTGTAACGACGCAAATCGATCATGTTTTACCTTCTGAATGCTAAGTGACAGTAATAGTCAATAGACGAACTCGTAGTTTACAAGGATTATACTTCATGTATTTATTTCCAATTGTTCAAACAATGTTAAGATATTATGAGCTCATGGCTATTTT